TTCAGCGTCTTAACCACTTGAGTCACCACAGCTCCAAAACATTAGCACTCTTGCAATAATCTGTTTATTTAACAGTGTCTGATAACTGACACTTCTTGCTCTGAATTATTGCATCAAAATGTCTGTGCTGTTGCAATCCTGAGTGTGCTGTTCAGGTGTGTATCCGTAACCTGCAAACCTATGATTATGCAGCAGCAGCAGAATTGGAAGAAGAAGCAGAAGACAGCCAGTTCCACTGCGGCCTGATAGAAGCTCAGTGGGGGCCTGATCTAGCCCCCGGGCCGCATGTTTGACACCCCTGGTCTACAGCATCCCACAACACCATCTCCCCTCCCCGGTTCATTTTTCTCCTGCTCTTCAAACTGTCAAGGGCAGGGCAAGGGCTTGCCTGCTATCAGCAGGCAAATGACAGGCCAAACTCCCCCTGTCATATTATGTGATTACCTGTCACATCCTTGAAGCTCAAAAGAGTCCGTGATGCTCTCTGTGCAGTAAACCTGGTTCTCAGGTTTGGAAAGGTTGAAGATCACTGCTCTGAAGCACTCTGTGTTTCGTGGTTCGTTGGATACTAGTTCAGAATGAATGTATGAAGCTATCCCTGGCCCATCTACCTCACTAGCCTACTCCTTTTGGCAGCAGCTTCCCACAATCTGTCCCCTACACTATGGCTAAGTGGAAATGCCAAGGATCAAGCCTTCTGGACCTTCTGCATGCAAAGTACTTGCTCTACTGCAGGGCTCGGGTTGCTAGCTCAAGGCTGGCAAGCATCAGAAGACTCACTGTTGGGGGGAGGGGCTTGCTGACAATAGCATGATGACACCGGTTAAACCATAGAGTTCTGGGCGAATGCTAGAGCGATGCCAGATGTGTTGATGTCACTTCCAAGTTGTGATGGAAATGAGACTGAACACCGCCACAACCAATCCCACCCTATTTTCCACACTGCCCAGCTGAGTGGTGGTGGGAAGGTCCAGCAGGGGGTGGGAAGTTTCCTGCCAAAGCAGAAGACCTGATAAATTTGTGCTGTGCTGTGATTCCTCCTGAGAGATCCAGCAGGATCTGGCAAAACAGCTCTTACATTCTGATCGTGAAGAAAGCAGACAAGTTAACTTGCCACAATGCTAGCGCAACCCCTTCCCCATCAAACCCATTCTTAATATGGAGCTATACCCTAGTTTATGCATCAGCAATGAATCACTGGATTCACTAAAGAAGGTCTCTCCCCCCCACCCCGCATTTCATTGTGGTCCTGACAGCACGCCTCCCATCAATATCCCTTCGTCGACCAACACTGTATTTTGCAGAGCACAGAGCAATCTTCCTGCTTTGCAGGTAACTCATGCTGCTCAAAGGCCCTTATAAACAAAGAATATAATAGTAACAAAGCCCCCCTGCTCTTTCCAGCGTTATAACATTTGACCAAAGGAACAGAAGGAGAAATTATTTAATTTTTACATACAGAGAGGGCTAAGGGGCTAGGGTACAAGGAGGGATTCCTCTTTAGCTACAAATCATTCCACAAATACCAGGAACCTCGGCTCATCAGCGAGTGGATGGAAAACAAAAGAAAACCCTGCGCAGTATTTTCAACACAGTGTGTGCACAGGGCCACGAGCTGCGGGAGAGCAGAGAAGGGAGAGGAAGACTTCGGAGTGTGGAGCTGGCACGGCACAAGCCTGTTGCATGACTCAGAGAGGCACATCAGAGCAAAGACAAAACACCTCTAGCAACAAGAAAAATCCTGCAGTGCTTATCTTGTTTTGCAAGGCTTTTGACGAGCAAAAATACATTGCAGGAGAGCTGGCGTGCCAGTCAGCTCACCTGTCAAATATTGTCAGTTGACAGCTTTTTATTTGGCACGAGTCTTAGAAATATCAGAAGAGTCCTGCGGGAGCAGAGCAGTGGTCCATCTAATCCAGTACCCCGTCTCACATAGAGGCCAACCAGTTTGTCTGGACAGCCAACAACAGGGCAGAGAGGCCAAGGCCATCCCCTGACCTCTCTTCCTGGCACTGTTACTCAGAGGTTTACTGCCTCTGAACATGGAGGTTCCCTTCAGTCACCAGGGCCAGCATCCACCGAGAGAGCTGACCTCCATAAATCTGTTTAATCCCCGTTTTAAAGCTAGCTATGCCTGTGGCCATCACTACATGAGAGCCAGTTTGGTGTAGTGGTTAGGTGCGCGGACTCTAATCTGGGAGAACCGGGTTTGATTCCCCACTCCTCCACATACAGCTGCTGGTGTGACCTTGGGTCAGTCACAAGCTCTGGCACAGCTGTCCTTGAAAAAGAGCAGTTTCTGTCAGAGTTCTCTCAGCCCCACCCACCTCACAGGGTGTCTGTTGTGGGGAGGGGAAGGGAAAGGAGTTTGTAAGCCGCTCTGAGGCTCCAAGTGAAGGGCGGGGTATAAATCCAAGCACTTCTTCTTGTTCTTCTTCTGCATCATCTGGCAGCAAATTCTACATTTTAGTCATTCACTGAGTTTAAAAAGTATTTCCTTTCGTTCATCCTGAGCACACTGCCCATCAGCTTCATTGGATGCCCTTGAGTTTTCATATTTTGGGAGGGAAAGAAACAGTTCTCTCTGTCCACTCTCTGTACCCTGTGGATAATTTTATAAGTCTCTATCACGTCCTTCCTTATCCCATTAATTTTGTTTTTAATTGGTACATGTCCTATGGAGCCAGAATGTCCTGGGGTACATGGCAGCCTTTGTCTTCTTTTTAAAATTTCATCACTTTATCATGCTTACACTGGAGTGAGGGCTGCATGCCCCCAAGCCTTGCATTCATTGAGGGCAAACCTATGCCCATAGCAAAGTTTTTCCTACTGGCCCCCTGCCATGACTGTGAGCATCCACAGAGAGAAGGTGTTTACGTTTCAAGAGTTGTTTCTTGTTTCTATTTGCAGTAATGTCTGGCTAGTCTGCCATACAGCACTACTGTGCCCTCACTTATCAGCTTCTTAGCCTCAGTGTTAATAGAAAGATTACCCCTGGGTAACAAAACAATAGAGTCAGATATTGCTCCCCCTCTTAATCTCAGGCTGCACGAACTGTGCCACGTGGTGTCAGCAGAAGCTACATATGTTACTGACACTGAGACACAGAGGAAGCAGTAAGAGGATCTTCACCCAAAGTACCTATAATTTATGAAATGCAGCACTGATATTGCTCATTGCAAAGGTTTAAAGCACTCCTCAGACACTGTCTCTCAGGTACCCTGAGGCCACAATTCATATCCCCCAGACATTGCCAGGATGAGGCTAAGGAAGACAGAACAGAAGCAAATCAGGGGTTAATTAGCAAGATCATGACTAAGGTAAGATTTGAGCCAGGGCTTCTCCATTTACAGGTGGGAACAGCTGGCTGTACCGGATTATATAGCTTTATCGTGAAATCCATTGAGGCCTTCAGAATTGTCGAGTAGGGGGCAAGACATGCCATCAGCAGCTCACAGAAAGCTGGGCTTATTTGGAATGAGATGGAACACGCTTCCAGGCACACCAGATTTGCCAGCATTGGCCTTCAATGGTGATAAACCAGAGGTTACAACACATTTGCTTGTTGTAGGGATGCCAGCCTCCAGGTGGAACCTGGGGATCCCCTGGTATTGCAGCTTATCTTCAGACTACAGAGATCCATTCCCCTGGAGAAAATGGATGCTTTGGAGGGTGGACTCTGTGGCACTGGACCCCACTAAAGTCCCTGTCCTCCCCAGGAGCCATCTCCAAATCTGGCAAGCCTACTCCCAATCTCCTGGTAGTGGCCAGCAGTGTTCCCTCTAAGCTGAGTTAGTATGAACTAGCTCACAGGTTTTTAGTCTCCGGCTCACACATTTTTTGTCTTAGCCCAGGAAGGATGGCTCCAGAGCAAACTGATCTATGCAGCAGCCAAATTACTTGCTCACAACTTTAATGCCGGTTGCTCACAGAGTAGAATTTTTGCTCACAGGACTCCACAGCTTAGAGGGAACATTGGTGGCCAGGGGAATCTGGCAAGCCTAGCTTGCTGGGCTGTACTTTCCTTCCATCTAGTGCAAACCCACCCCAATTGCTTGCTAACCAATTAAGGATGCCACCAGATTTTGCAGTCCTGTTATTTCCACTCAACTCCTCCCACACTTTCCTTGCATACAGTGGACCCTGCAAGACTTTGTTTTCACCCCATTTCCTGGCTTTTTCATGATGGCCTTTTTTTGACCTAACTGGCATATCAATAAACCAGGAAGAAAAATGAATGAGAGGAATAGGTTCCTAACCATGGCATGTAAAGGGACAGACTTGTCTCAGTAACAGATGTAGGCATTTCAGGTGTAATGTATTCTTGCCAACCCATGCCCATCAATGGGTGGACAGTGGTATTCTATGCCAACTGAAGTTTCCAAATAATCTTCAATGGCTGCCCCAGACACAGTGCATTAAAACAGTCTAACCTGGAAATCTCCAGGGCATGAATGATTGTAGGTGGGAATGCTTTTCAGGCTAGGAATGCTGCCAATAATCACCTGCAGCATCCAGCTTGGCTTATTTTGTGGAATGCTGGTGACCCAACCACAAAAGCAAACTAGACAATCACCATGAATGCTAAAATTCCATCCTTGAGAAAGATCGACTGCCAGCCCTTTGATGAAAGCACATGGAGGCAACTGAGCTGCCTGTTGACTGGGGATTAATTTCTAAGTGCACAATTGAGAGCCTTCTGATTGCCTGGGCAGAGCCACAGCACTTACAGGAGAGTATAAGCAGCTTTTAGGGCACACCTTTCCACCTGTATGATTCTACAAACAAACACATCCTTTCCATGTCATCATATGAGATTCAGAGAATGCTTCCCCCACTATGTCTCTGCACCGGATCAAAGAAACAAGCGTATTTTAACCAGAAGCTGGGCAGCAGCTCTGCTTGCATTTCAAGGCTGATGCATCGGAGATTAAATGAGGGAAAGCAGGAGTTGTATATCATCCTAGCAGAGGCTTGACCCAGTTTGGATAAAGGAATACCTGTAGCTGGTTAGGCTTCAGAGACCAGCAGGTGGAATCATCACTGACCAGAAACCAAGATTTAAGTGAGCTGAGCTGTGCACCCAGCATACAGATGTGATCCTGCTGCAGCTTCCTGATGCGCTCTGATTTCCTACAGTAAGAAACCAAGAGGAAGGGAGGCTTTTCATTCCAGTCTTTCCTGCAGTAGCAGTGCTTAAGCTTCATAACAGGAGGGACATATGCTAACAATGTATGCATGAATTTGGCCATGTTTCATAGGCAGTATGTTGTTGAAGGCTTTCACGGCTGGAGTTCATTAGTTGTTGCAGATTTTCCGGGCTGTATGGCCGTGGTCTTAGCATTGTAGGACCTGACGTTTTGCCAGCAGCTGTGACTGGCATCCTCAGAGGTATAACACAGAAAGATGGGGTACTCTCTGTGTCAAGGTGAGAAGAAAAATGGTAGGCAGCTAATTTATATCTATTCAGGAAGGTGGGGTAGGTCTGAGACATTTATTCTATAGGTTTATATCTATTCAGGAAGGTGGGGTAGGTCTGAGACATTATCTTGAAAAGCACTCTGGCTGTGGTAACGCTAGCAGTTTGTGCCGATATGATTGTGGTACCTTTGCAGATGAAATGAGCACAATCAGACAACAACTTCTGTGCCCCAGTCATCAGCGCATCCTGGAAGCGGAGTTTGCTGACACTGGAAAAAGTCTGATCTTTACATATGCCGGTGTTTCCACCCTACATTTCCCAACATCTGAATATTCCTTTCCATTTCCACCTCCTTTTTTTTTTTAATCAGGTAGCTATGTGTGCATAAGCACATAAGTGCCTCTGGCATTGTCGATCACTGTGGTGAAGTAGTCATTCTGGATTGGGAGTCCCCAGGGGAGTTTTTGAGCAACAAATTGCCCCACCCCACCCTTCTCTCCTGTTTCTGCATCAGAGTTGCTGTTTGAGAGCACCCCATTATTCACAAGGGTAAATGCACTGAAGTCAATGGAACTATTCGTGTGCAAATCCACACTTTACTCCCCATGTAGTCCAAGGAAGAGAGGTAAAGGGAAGGAGGCTGAAAGGGGCTGGAGTACTTAGCAGAGCAATTGTGGAGCTATCAAAAAGGAGCTGGAGCTCTAGATACACACTTATGTGCATGACTGAAAGACCAAAAAAAGGGGTGCCATAACAATCTGAACGATCAATCACGGGGTGAGTGCGCAGTGAAGCCAGTTCAGGGTGGGATGTCTGATCAGAGCTTCCCGCAACTATTTAAACCACTGCAAATAGAGGTGTGGCCAGATCATGCCAAACCTCCAGTGTGACTGCAGCCCCTGTGTTCTATCTAATGCATTTTTATCCCACTCTTCTGCTAAGGAGCTTAGGGCTCTCTCTCCCTGATTTTATCCTGACAGCTACTCTGTGGGGTAGGTGAACCTGAGAGTGGGTGACTTCTGTAATAAACTTCATGGTAGACTGTAGATTTGAACTTAGGTTGTCTCCAAGACCCTAGCCCAATACTCTAACCACTACACCACCCTGGATCTCCCTTGTTATGTTTAGCTTTGCCCTCCATCACAGGATGAATCAAGTGTGCAGAGCTTTTTTAGGTCCACACAGACTAGATTCTCAAATGTTTCTCCCTTTTACAAAAGGTCCTGAAATGGGCTGATGAGGACTGAGCATGCTTGTTCCCATTTGAATTCTGAGAGCAGTTTAGGGTCACTAAAATGGTGGGCAGAAAACACAGGGAGTTTAGCTTGCTCAAGTCCCTGAGAGCTTAATCCTGCAGTTGGCAATTTGGGTCAGGATGCAGAGTTCCCTCTAAGCTGCACTAGGGGGTGCTGGCACACAAATGTTTAGCTGCCAGCTCATGGAATTTAATGTTCTGCTCACACTAAGGCATTTCCCCTCCATTGGAAAAATGGAGGATGGGGGCACCTCCTTCTGGGGCCCATGGAATTGGACCCCCCAGTCCAATCTTTTTGAAACTTGGGTGGGGGGTTGAGAAGAGGCACCAGCAGGTATTCTGCAAATTTGGTCCCTCTACTTCAGAAAACAGGCCCCTCCAGAGCCCCAGATACCACCAGATTGATTCTCCATTATAGCCATTGACTATAATGGTCCCCAAAGGCTATAATGGTGTCGGAAAAAATATTTTTGCACACTCATTATGCTTTTCAGTATGATTTGTCAGTTGCCTTGAGTCACAGGAAAAGTGGGATATAAATATTTGAATAAAAAGTAGTTCGGGCAGGTTGATAACATTTAAGCAGCTTCCTGTTTGTTAGGTTAGGCAGGGTTCTAACAGTGATTGTTCCACTTCTGTTATACTTGGCCTGTAATTTGTCATTTTTCACTAAAAAAAACCCAAAGTAGATTGCAAGAGTCCCCCCCCCACAAAGTGCTGGTATGTTTTCTAAGACTCAGCGCAGGGCAGCAGTGTGAGGTCAGGTCTACAGTAGACTGAGGCAGGTAGACCTGATCTCTGGAGGCCAGTTCTACCAATATAGTGGAAAGGGGAGGGTAGACCTGTTCTCTGGAGGGTCTACCCCCCTAGAGGACAACATTATCTATAATGAAATTTGACTTGATTCTGCTTTCTCTTATAATTAAATTATTCTGAAAATATAGTTTAAACATAGCTTAAAAGACGTCATTCTGAGATTTTTACAAGTTTATGGAAATAATCTAAAAAAACTAATTTATGTGATAGTCAAACATAGGCTTGTTCACAACTTTAATGCTACTAGTTTTTTAGCTCATGAGGTAGAACTTCTGCTCATGACATTGTGGAGCTTAGAGGGAACACTGGCTCAGGAGAACACATTTTCCTAATAACACCCCCCCACACACACTGTCACAAAAGTGATTCCCCAGTATGTAAGTGTTTGCGTTTACCTTGGAATTGTCCTCTTGTAAGTACTTTCTGGATAGTTATCCATGTCAATGAAGTGCTTTACCGATCAAGCACCTGAATGTAGTTGCCTTTCAGGATGATAGCTAGCAGCTGGGAACTGTCAAGGTTTTGGTTGACAGTAGACCATCTACAGCTTAAATGTCAGTTTGACAGCTGAGGATCTACATTCAGCTCAGTTAGATCAATTGATTGATCATTCTGATTGGTCACTCAATTGGCAAAGTGACAGATGGGATAGCATATAGGGCAAGAGTGAAGAAGCCAGAACATTACAGAAGAATACCACATGATGATGATGTCGCATCAAGAAGAGCATGTGAAGCTGGAGAAGGGATCTTCACACTCTTCAAGACTTCCACTCTTGCATTATTGCTGCTGGAAAGACTGCTACACAGGACATCTGCTTTGGAGCTGTAAGCTGCACAGGGTCAGTGTCTAGAGACTAGTTAGTTAGGTTTATTGTCTTTGTCTCATTGTACATTCCTCTCCCCTACTTGTATGTTTTTATGTATGTTTATCTTTTGTAAATAAATTTCTAAATTCTGTTTTTTCTAGTAAGTTTCTGGTCCAGAACCCAGGGTCCTTTTATTCCAGTGCCACAAATTTATGCTACCAAGAAGGTTATTTTTCCAATTGGACATATCTAAATTCCTTTTATTTCCTGTCACCTTGGCCAATAGACATTGTGAGGGCACCCCGATGTTGTGACACACACAGTTCCCTGAGGGCCCCTAAGTTGTGTCAGGCCATTGCTGAGATCCAATATATCTGGGTCATTCAAGAGTTATTACAATCTTAGCTGAAACTGCAGCATTTAGACTGGGAAACTTCATTCCAATTTTTGATTGGGAATTAGATTCTCCTTCTGCCATCTCAAGAAAAACCTCACATCTTTCTGTTCTTTGGATACTCTGAGGAACCTTTGTTACATAACAAGTGGGGCACGGATTGGCTGCAATATTTTGCAGGTTCTCTGACAATGCAGGTTCTGTTCTGTTTTATTTTTTATTAGCTGGAAGCTAAACATCCTTCTGCTCAAAGTTGCGACATACTAATTGCATTCCCGCTTGTTAAAAGTTCCTCAACCTACTGCAGAGTCTATTTTAGGATTTCAGGCAGTGATGCCAGAGTTAAAAAAAACCCACTCACCAGTGCAAGCCAGTTTCCATAAAACTGAATCCAGACTGGAGGCTGCCAAGACATCATTCTGCCATTCCTGGATGACTGCAGCACAATGAGGAATGGAAAGGAGGCGAGGTGGGGGGGACAGACCAAGAACAAAGATCTATGGATATTGGCTTCATCGCCTGTGACTGCTGAAATGTTCTTTTTGAAACACAAAGCCAATGGCCACAACGTATCTCTTTGCACCATCAACCAGAAAGCACCTGGGGTCTCAAAACTGGGGGGGGGGGGGGGGAGAGATTTAACACCAAAGAGCTCTTAAATTGTGCACCCGCAGCTGCAGCATAGTAGAAAAGTAATGATCAAGATGTCAGAGCAGTTTCTGCTGCACACCTGGTTGGCAGAACACACAGAGCTGCCTTTTGGGGAAAGAGGGCAGACGTCAAATGCATACAACTCAAATGCAATGATCTGCCGGGGGAGGGGGTTGAGGCGGGGCTGCTGCTAGGCCAGCCAGATGGTAGAGCGCTGGCTATTCTTCTCGTCTGTAAGGAGGGACATGACAGAAATTTATAATATGATGTACGGTGATGTACTCCCTTCCCTGTAATGCTAGAATTCAGGGGATACCTGGTGAAGATGACAGGCGGCAGATTCAGGGAAGAGAAAAGGACATACTTTCCCACCCGCAGTATAATGCACTTGTGGAACTCTCTGCCACAGGATGTAAAGGAGACACACAACAAACAACCTCTGTGGAGGACAAGGAAACAGGGCTGGTTCATCACATGAGTGACCCAAGAGACTGCTGGATGTGCCAGGCTAGCAAGGGGGGAGGGTTATGATGTGAGAAATGGTGACTGTTGCAACTTGTACTTTCAGAGGCCCTTAGTGTTCACACCACCTTGGGCCCTGCCAGGTTGGCATGGGAGGAGGGAGGTTAGGGTGGCTCAGTAGATTGAGCTGGCCTTGTGGGGTGAGGGAGAAGACCAGTTCTGCTGAACCTCTCCATTGGGAATGATTGAATTAGGTCCTGTCCCCAGACAGAGGCTGACTGGAAGGCAGCCAGTCCTCCTTGAACAGCAACTCACACAGAGATGC